CCCCCCCCCCCCCACACACACACACACATACACCACACATACATGATGCACCACACACCCCACACACAAACGTGCGTGTTATCTGCATTAAGGTGACACTGTATAAGAAAACCACGTGTATAAAGTTACAATTTTTTCCCTCAAAAATGGGAGATTGTATTTGACAAGTTCGACTGTACTGTAACCAGAAAAAAGTCGTTCTGCTAATACTTCTCGTCAGCGGTAGTCAATATTCAACTTCAGTGAGAAAATGCTTTCTGATGTTATAATAAATTAACATGACAAGCTAACACAGCTTCAGAGAGTTATTAGCGCCCTCATATTGTGACATTATGCAGTTTCGAGCGCATTAAAACACTTACCACCTAAAAAAAGAAAAAGTTTTAATGAACATTACAAGCGATGACTACAAACATGTGTTAGAATTTCGACACAGAAAACTAAAAAACAATTACTAAGAGATCTAGATTCTAGATCGAGGTGTGGTCAAAAATTCGTGGAGCAACTTATCCTCAAATATCTCTTTAACGAGTGAATCAATGGCATCCATACTTTGCATAGATCTAGCAGTTTGTGTCAATTTGTCTTAACTAAATCATATTTTTCTAGAACAATTGGGGTTAGATTAAAAAGTTTTCTTTATAAATTTATATATCTAGATCTATATATAATACTTGAAATCTCTCTCACACGTAAAATGGTATTGGTCACAGCACTTCCTGCTTCTCACATTCATTTTGATTACGCATATGGCCTACGTCACTGCTCATCAATGACAATTTTTACTTGCAAAACTTGTTACAAGAAATTATTGTTATTCTGAACACATTTTTGCACTAATGGCTCTCAAAAAATGCGTCCAATAAGCATAATGTCCCGATTAGAAAAACCTGACGGACTTGCTATTAAAAGCAATATTGCCCCAGATGTAAACATTAAAAAATCTGTAGAAACCACCCACTTGGATTTTTTATGAGCATTTATTAAGGAATATTCTAGAATACAGCTTGCAGGTGTTTACAAAAATGTTGATCTGTTAAGACAAGTCACTGTGCAAAAATTAGAGAACCTATGTTCGATAGTTGAGGACATATATGTATTTGAAAATAACTCGCGCCACGAATTTTTGACCGCGCTACAAGTAGCCTCGTCACTACCCTACAACACTCACCACAAACAGCACGTACATCTGAGGTGTACGGTACGACCAGGGTGTGAGAGAAGCGCGCGTGCCACAAGCCACACGGGCAAGCTGTCTGATCCTTGTTTCGCCAGACCCTATTCCTACCAATTAACCGGCCTGGTGGGCAATTATTTCTCCCAGCATATGTAAGTGACAAGTGCCTACGTGTGCTTATACCCACAAACAGCAGCCCACATCACTGGGAATAATTAAATGTCTTTAGCACCAATAGATCATGGATTCA